TGGAGTTTCGAGAAGGGGATTGCAACCATGATTTTCCCTTCTTTTCCTGGGCTGCCCTCAGATCCCCCGCCAAAAGCTTGACTTTTAGTGGGTCAAATGGAACCACTAAACACTAAAAGGATAAAAAGCCACGGAACCGGATGAATCGCTGGGAGGCACCAAGCTTCGAAAACAATTGGCTGTTGCCCCCTGGCTTCCTGAAAAGAAGGATCCCTGGAAAGAATGGGGAAGGTACCTCTAGAGATATACACTGTGGATGGACAAAGTCCTGCGCAAGCTGATAGGCTTCTCCCAGTATTTATAGGGTGTCATTCATCCCAACTGGTGCAGGTGTTTGTCCATCCACAGTATGGCTGTGTGTTTTAGATGCATAAAAACAAACATGTGCATATTAATTTATGCATGTGTGTATGTGTGTATAGAGGTTGCTTGCAAAAACTCGTTAGAGGAAGAGATATAGCGCACACATTTTTACGCACATAAATTTATATATACAAACATCAGAATATGACATGGAATATATGCTACACTCCAGGACATCACATAACGCATAGCACAGCTTCGCATAATGCATGTACAACAATATGTAGATATAGACATATACACATATTGACATGTATACATATGCGGCCACAAAAACTGAATACGTATACAATATGTGCTATATCCCAGGACCAAGGTTCACAATCTGCACTGACCGAACCCCGGAAGACCGCGGGTCGGAGTAAAAGACGGCGCGTGTTGTAAACAGCTGGTTCTTGTGGTAGCCCTGTGCAATTGTGCAGGTTTCTCCGTGTTTACCTGCTCAAGAGCCGATCACATGTGGTTGTGGCATCGCGCTGTTTGAATGCATGAGAAGCCCTCTGGCAACTTTGGGCAGATTTCAATAAGGAAAGCCAGTAGGATGCTCGCAGCAAATAGCAACAATGTCGAACCTTGCGTTGCCAATATCTCCAAGTCGGGAAGTATTCCTGAGCAGTTGCCAAGTACACTTTCTGTCTTGGGGCCCAAAAAAAAACCTACAATGCAGGACAATACGCGCGCCAAACATTGTGACGTCAATCTTATGTCATTTTGCCGCCTACCAGATGGCAGCGCCGAGGACTCAAGACTCCCAAAGAGCCTCAGAATCTTGAAACTTGAGCTCTACCATGAAGCAAGTGCCGAGATTGTGGATTCCATATTCAATCCCCCATGTTGTGCCAGTCTATCCCGCGCTCCGGACCTCTGACAATCTAAATTAAAACTAGATGTTAGAGGGTTCGAGCTTCAAGCATAAGTGTCCTTTTGGTCAAATAGATGGCCCTCGTAAATGGAATAAAATTCATCTAAACCAGTGCCATGTATTTCTATCCAAACGAACTTAGGACACCTATGGCTTCAAGAGAAAAAAGATCTCCCAGATTCTGTAGAACCCTGAATCCTGGGCCTCGGCCTAAATCATGGAGTCCAATCTAACTGAGCGGAGTTTTGGGTTCGATATTGAAGATTCTCCTGAAGACTCGAAGAATTCTTGGCCACTTCAATGCACCCGTTTTCTCCGTTGGAAGTGGTTGGCAGTGGTTTGACGCCCTCCGGAACCGCCGGCGGAAAAAAATCGGAGCGGCTTTCACCTCTAAGCTGGGAAAGGGTCCCAAACGAAACCGGGACCTTGCCATCAAGCAGGTGGTCCTGAGTTTTTCGGTTGGTTGGCCTCATTTGTTTACCATGATCAAAGTCACCCCCTAAGTGGCGGGTTAAAGGGAAACAACCCCATTTTCTGACTTTCATAACCCCCAGAAACCGAATCAAAATCGTGACCCCAGCTGGGAAAAAAACGAAGAGGGGAAACCCCCCCGGCTAGGAACGAGAAGGAAACCCATGGAAGGAGCCACTGGAAGGAAGCCACTGCCAGGTGCTCCAGTGGGGAGGTTAGAAGGGCACCCGATGTTTTTTCTGTAGTCTATTTGAGTCGGGGAGCACCTTCCCCAAAAAAAGGTGGGAAAAGTTGGCACTGGGGGACTTCTAGTGTGGGAAACAAGGGAAGCCAATGAAAAGGGGCGCCACTGGAAGCCAATCTATGGATTCAGCCGACGGATCGGTCCGAGACCATCTCTGGCAACCTGTGGCCCGTTGTCCTTTCCTTGGTCCTTTAAACCAACCCCAAAAGGAGCACCCACGAAAACCACTCGGTGGCGAACTCTGCGAAGCCCTGCTAAAAGTTGAAAACTCTTAGTGGTTTGATAGAAAACCCGTTAGTTTGCAAAAAGTTAAAGTCCTAACAGCCCTTGGCAAAATGCACCAAAGACAAGGCGGAGCTTGGCAAAGCAGGAGACTTGGGCGGGTTCCACGTCCTCCCCAAAATCGACAACTGCCAGCAATGGGCCTTGCGGAACGTGTGGGGGCCAGAAAGGTGGTTCGCGAGTCCAAGCGTGTGTCATGTTTTTTGGGTAGCCCTTTCTCGGTGGCTTTGCTTTTGGGGAAAACCAAAAGGTGCAGAAACAAAACCACCTTCCGGAGGGCAGCCCATACCCGTCGTGTCTTCAGAAAACAAATGCCGGTGCATTTGAAGGTCACTTGATAGATCTGCAAAGAAAAAAACGAAACTGAGGAGTGTACTCCTAGAGCCCTCTCTTTCGGGCTCGAGAAGATTTCGGCTCGAAGCGAAAGCCAGTGTTCAAACCAAGATGCCATTCGATTTTGTCACCCCTTCCTTTGACCCTCTACGGCCATAGTATTCAGTATTGCCAGCTGCAGAACAACCTGAACTTAAGCAAGACCCCCCAAGAACCTCCAAAGAAGAGCATCAAGATGCTGCCGCGAATCATCACCCAAAAAGGCATCGTCCTCCCTCCGGCGGGTGTTTCGAAGCTTACTTTCTGGCTCATCCGCTCATGTGGGTGCGTGTCAAAATAAGGACTTGGACGCCAAAAACTGCTGCTTTCCATTTGGTGTTCCTTTAACCAATCCCAGAAAGCCCCGGACACGCACAGCCACACAAATTTGAAAAAAGAGTGGAGCCCTTTGGAATGGTCTTGGGGCACCAAAAGGAAACACGCCATTTGAGGGGTCTGCAATTCTGAGAAACACCCATGGACAGCTTGTGGACAGCTAGTGGGGGAAGGTCGGGTCAGGGCGGAGGCCAAAGGCCGCAGGCCTCTGGTTTGTCAGCGGCTCTGACCGTCAGTCAAGGGAGGCCCATGCTTGAACAAGTCCCCGAAGAGAAAAAGAGTGCTTCCCCCTCGGCTTCCTTAAAACCAACCCCAAGACACGGGAAGAACCACAAAGACAGGCCCAGCCAGGCCTTGTGCAGGGCGCGCGGTCGGCGCGCTTCCGAGAAGCCGCGCTCCTTGCGAACAAGAAGCTTACCCTAGAAGCAAAGGAAAAAATGGGGGCGTATCCCCCTGGTCCATGGTGTTGTTCACTACTGAATTTTCAGGACTCTTCCAATTGGGAAGGATTTCAACAGGGCACCCAGACTGGACGTCACTTCAGGATTGTCCACAAACCTTTCGGGGTGGTTCCCTATTAGAATTCATACCCAGGGTATGTGTCTACATGGATGTGCAACTAGGAGACGCCTTCGGTGTCCCTTTAAACCAAGGGGGAGAAGGTACCTCCACATGTGTGTGTGTGCTTAAAAAGGATCCCCCCAAAAAGCATGGGCAGTTTCCGTTTGGATGCCGTTTCAACCCCCCCCTCAAAAGGCTACGTTAAAACCACAGCATGAAAGTGAGGGCCCTGCACTTCCATGGATGGTATCTGAACGACTGGGGGGTAGTTTGGTAGCGTGAGGCTTGGCTCGGGAGCTATGCGTTGTTTGAAGCCCAGCTGTGAGCTTGCTCTCTTGGTCACTTGCCAGCTCTGGGTGATCTAATCTCATACTCTGCATTGATAACTTGCTGCTGTGTGTGTGTTGTCTTGTCAAGACATGTTGCCGCTTTGGATTTGTGCAAGTAGTGCCTTGCTTTCAACGAACTACCCATGCCAATATGACAATGACAATTGCACCTGGCACGAAAAACAGCATCGGCGTGCACGAAATATGACACACGGCAGACCGCAGACCAGTCTAAAGTACTGCGCCTGTCACGCAATCCAGCAGCATGCGTAAGTGGAGCGAGTGAGTAAGCATGCATAGGTTAATGAGTGTAAGTTGAGTGAGTGAAAGAAAGCATGCATGAGCTAGCGAGTGTAAATTGAGTGAGTGAGAATAAGCATGTGTAAGTCAGTGGGTGTGAGTTGAGAGAGTGAGAGGATGTATGTACAAGTTGAGTGAGTGAGTGTGAGAGGAGGAGGAGGGAGGAGAGCCGCGCGGACGACGACATTAAAAGTAAGAACCCCACACGAGAATGTGGAAAATGAAAAACGATATCCTAAGGAACCATGAGGACACACGTTCGGAAGTTGAAGTATGCCTCCAGTGCCCCTTCTACCAGTCCTATTCCCACGGAATGTTTTGCTCCAACAGTCTGAATGCCCAGAAGGGGCCACCCCGTAACAAGAATCAACCAGGGGATATGAATCTGGGGTCAACATTGCATTGAAATACATGGCAGCATGGTGTAGCCAGTCGTGAAGACGACGGCAACAAGTGCTTCAACTCATCCCCCGCCACACCGATGTCTGCGAGGTGCCAAGATTGTCTAAACCTACGTTCCACGAGAAAACATGCAGGCTGCAACACTGCAACAGT